CCTTTTTTTTTTTTTTTTTTTGAGACCAGGTCTCTGTTGCCTAGGCTAGAGTGCAGTGGTGTGATCTTGGCTGACTGCAGCCTTGACCTTCTGGGCTCAAGAGATCCTTCCACCTTAGCCTCCCCAGTAGCTGGGACTATAGGCACATATCACTATGCCTGGCTAATTTTTTTTGTAGAGAGGAGGTCTCACTATATTGTCCAGGCTGTTTTCTATATTTAGTTGTGTTTAGATACACAAATAGTTACTATTGTGTTCCAACTGCCTATAGTATTCAGTACAGGAACATGCTGCTGTACAGGTTTGTAGCCTAGGAGCAATAGGTTCCACCATCTAACCTAGGTGTACAGTAGGCTGTACCATCCAGGTTTGTGTAAGTACACTCTATGTTGTTTACATGATGGGGAAGTTGCCTAATGATGCATTTCTCAGAATGTATCCCTTTTCCTATAAATGGAATCTCATGTGATCTTTTGTGTCTCATCTCTTTCAATTAGCATAATGTTTTAGTTTTTTTTTATTAAAACATTTTCGTGGGTACATAGTAGGTGTGTATATTTATGGGGGTACGTGGCATGTTTTGATACTGGCATGATGCATAATAATCACATCATGGTGAATGGGATATCCATCCCCCCAAGCATTCATTTTTTGAGTTATCAACAATCCAATTACATTCTTTAAGTTATTTAAAATATACAATTAAGTTATTATTGACTATAGTCACCCTATTGTGCTATCAAATAGGTCTTATTCTTTCTAACTAGTTTTTTGTACCCATTAACCATCCCCACCTCAGCCCTACTGTCTCCCTGCCACTACCTCTCACAGCCTCTAGTAACCTTCCTTCTACTCTCTGTGTCCATGAGTTCAATTGTTTTGATTTTTATATCCCACAAATAAGGGAGAACACGTGATGTCTTTCTGTGACTGGCTTATTTCATGGAGCATAATGATCTCCAATTCTATCCAATGTTGTTACAAATGATTGGATCTCATTATTTTTTTATGGCTGAATAGTACTCCATTGTGTATATGTACCACATTTTCTTTATTCATCTGTTGATGGACACGTAGGTTGCCTCCAAATCTCAGGTATTGTAAACAGTGCTGCAACAAACATAGGAGTGCAGATGTTTCTTTGATATACTGATGTCCTTTCTTTTAGGTGTATACCCAGCAGTGGGATTGCTGGGTCATATGGTAGCCCTAATTGTAGTTTTCTGAGGAACCTCCAAACTGTTCTCCATAGTGGTTGTACTAATTTACATTCCCACCAACAGTTAGCATAATGTTTTAAAGCCTCATTCATGTTGTATGTACCAGAACTTCATTCCTTTTTATGGCTGAATAATTCCATTGTATCAGTATATCCCATTTTATTTATCTGTTCGTCAGTTGATAGGCATATGGGGTTCTTCCACTTTTGGAGTATTAAGAATAATACTTACTTAAATATTTGTGTACCAGTTTTTATGTGCACATATATTTTTATTTCTCTTGAATACATACCTAGGAGTGGAATTGCCATATCAAACTGTATTGGGAGCTGAAAGTATTCAAATTTCAATCTCAGTAAGGTCTAACATTTCAAGTACAGCTGAGTCTTGCAATTATGTAACATGTAAAGTGGAATGATTGCCTGATTTCAATGGATACAGGTAAATCAACAATGAAGAAAGAAAGATTCTTGGATAAGTTTCTCAAAAAGCAACTAGGAGTTCTTAAATCTCACCAAAAATTCTTTCCCAAGATGTCTGTCTTATCTCTGTGTGGTGGGATCATTGGTATTAGTTTTCTTCTTTTTGGTCAGTTTTCTTTTACTTTTCTATTTGAAATTTCTATTTGAAATCTGCCAAATTTGTTCAAAGTATTGAAATTAGTCTTTTAAATTTTTGGTAAAATTTTGCAGATTTTGATAAAAATGAAGCAGAAATTAATTTATATGATTTGCATCTGTCATGAGCATTGTTATTGCTTCTTTTGCCCTATTGTAATTTACATATTTTAAAAAAAGTGATTCATGTGTTGCTTTTAGTCCCATGATTCATAATTGCTTTGAGGAATAAATATGTTTGTGGTTATATAGAAGAGATTGCTGAAAATTGTGATTTATTTGTATATAAATGTAAAAGCTACTCTAGCTGAGTAATTAATGGATTATTTAAACAATGGCACTTGACAGGTTCTGTGGCCAAGAACTTCTTCACCAAATCAAAGCTTTCCATTCCAGAACTCTCCTATATATGGTAAGTACAATTAATGCCATATGACATTAATACCATCATACATAACCCATCCTTCAGTTGCTACCTTTGCATTTTAAAAAGTCTTATATTTTGAATGATGTTTTAAACAGACTATGAGAGTGAATACAACTCAGATTTTTGTTCCTGTGAAAATTAAATATTATCATATGAAAAGTACAATGAACAATATCTGGCACATACTAAGCACTGTAAGTGTTAGCTATTATTTTAGAGTAATTTCCTAATTATTATCCCCATCTTAATCCCTTTTCAGTCTAGGCAATTGTGGGCACATGAGAGTTATCATCTTGAAGATTTCATTTTCAGACTTTTCTACTATGTGTGATAAAGTAACCAGAGGACCTTGACAAGCTATATGTTTTATATTTTATAAGGCCAAGTGAACAGAAGGTTGAGGAATATTTTGGAGTTAGGTTAGATTTGATTATTCTGGCTGCCTCTGAGCTTTGCAAATTTGACTGATGTTTATCAGCTGGGCCCTAATTCAAACTTGCAGCTGTGGTATCCACTGTACCTTTATGTGCTCTGGCTCCAGAAGGGCTGTGCTGGGCTGGTCCAGATGGCTCTATTTGCATTCATGAAAATGCTCGGTGCTGCTGTAAACTCTCGGCTGTGTGTGGGCTAGTTCTTCCCCCAAACTGGGCAGGAGATCACACTGCTATTTAAAAACATTGGAATGTTTATATAAAGCTTTTTGCATGAGGATTTATAGAATTATGATAGGATTTAAAATTGCTTGTCATGTTTTGTGCATCTTATTGGAAAACTACTCCAATAATATTCGTGCATGCCAATGTATCTGGTATTCTGAGCTGGATTTAGGTTCTTCAGCAGTATATACTCTGGCATAATATTTTGTTTTTACAAGCCTTATATTAGGTTTTTTTTTTTTTTTTTTTTTTTTTTTTTGGAGATGAGGGCTCACTCTGTCACCTAGACTGGAGTGCAGTGACACAATTATAGCTCATTACAGCCTCTGACTCCTAAGCTCAAGCAATCCTCCTACCTCAGCCTCCCAGCTAACTTTTTTTTTTACATGTCAATTATTTGATTTTTTAACATGTAAATTATTTGAATTTTTTGACATGTCAATTATTTTATTTTTAAAAAATTTATTGTACTTTAGGTTCTGGGGTACAGTGCAGATCATGCAGGATTGTTGCATAGGTACACACACGGCAATGTGGCTTGCTGCCTCCATCTCCCCTTCACCTATGTCTGGGATTTCTCCCCATGTTATCCCTCTCGAACATCCCCACCCCCTGCTGTCCCTTCCTTGGCCTCCTGCAACAGACCCCAGTGTGTGATGCCCCCTTCTCTGTGTCCATGCGTTCTCATTGTTCAACACCTGCCTGTGAGTGAGAACATGCGGTGTTTGATTTTCTGTTCTTGTGTCAGTTTGCTGAGAATGGTTTCGAGATTCATCCATGTACCTACAAAGGACACAAACTCATCGTTTTTTATGGCTGCATAGTATTCCATGGTGTATATGTGCCACATTTTCCCTGTCCAGTCTATCATCGATGGGCATTTGGGTTGGTTCCAGGTGTTTGTTATTGTAAACAGTGCCACAATGAACATACATGTGCATGTCTCTTTATAATAGAACAATTTATAATCCTTTGGGTATATACCCAGTAATGGGATTGCTGGGTCAAATGGAATTTCTATTTCTAGGTGCTTGAGGAAGCACCACACTGTCTTCCACAATGGTTGAACTAATTTACACTCTCACCAACAGTGTAAAAGTGTTCCTATTTCTCCACATCCTCTCCAGCATCTGTTGTCTCCAGATTTTTTAATGATCGCCATTCTAACTGGCGTGAGATGGTACCTCAATGTGGTTTTGATTTACATTTCTCTAATGACCGGTGATGATGAGCATTTTTTCGTATGTTTGTTGGCCTCATATATGTCTTCTTTTGAAAAGTGTCTGTTCATATCCTTCACCCACTTTTGAATGGGTTTATTTTTTTCTTGTAAATCTGTTTTAGTTCTTTGTAGATTCTGGATAATAGCCCTTTGTTAGATGGGTAGATTGCAAACATTTTTTCCCATTCTGTTGGTTGCCAGTTCATTCTAATGAGTGTTTCTTTTGCTGTGCAGAAGCTGTGGAGTTTAATTAGGTCCCATTTGTCTATTTTGGCTTTTGTTGCCAATGCTTTTGGTGTTTTAGTAATGAAGTCCTTGCCTATGCCTATGTTCTGAATGGTTTTGCCTAGGTTTTCTTCTAGGGTTTTTATGGTGTTAGGTCTTATGTTTAAGTCTTTAATCCATCTGGAGTTAATTTTAGTGTAAGGCGTCAGGAAGGGTTCCAGTTTCTGCTTTCTGCACACTGCTAGCCAGTTTTCCCAACACCATTTATTAGACAGGGAATCCTTTCCCTATTGCTTGTTTTTGTCATGTTTTTCAAAGATCAGAGGGTTGTAGATGTGTGGCATTGCCTCTGAGGCCTCTGTTCTTTTCCATTGGTCTATATCTTTGTTTTGGTACCAGTACCATGCTGTTTTGATTACTGTAGCTTTGTAGTATCGTTTGAAATCAGGTAGTGTGATGCCCCTGGCTTTGTTCTTTTTGCTTAGGATTGCCTTGGCTATGTGGGCTCTCTTTTAGTTCCATATGAAGTTTAAGGTGTTTTTTTTTCCAGTTCTGTGAAGAAGGTCATTGGTAGCTTGATGGGGATAGCATTGAATCTATAAATTACTTTGGGCAGTATGGCCATTTTCACGATACTGATTCTTCCTAACCATGAGTGTGCAATGTTCCTCTGTTTGTTTGTGTCCTCTCTATTCCCTTGAGCAGTGGTTTGTAGTTCTTCTTAAAGAGGTCCTTTACATCCTTTGTTAGTTGTATTCCTAGCTGTTTTATTCTCTTTGTAGCAATTGTGAATGGGAGTTTGTTCGTGATTTGGCTCTCTGTTAGTCTGTTATTGGTGTATAGAAATGCTTGTGATTTCTGCACATTAATTTTGCATCCTGAGATTTTGCTGAAATTGCTTATCAGCTTAAGGAGATTTTGGGCTGAGATGTTAGGGTCTTCTAAATATACAATCATGTCATCTGCAAATAGAGACAATTTAACTTCCTCTTTTCCTAATTGAATATCCCCGCCCCCTTTTTTTCTTGCCTAATTGCTCTGGCTAGAACTTCCAATACTATATTGAATAGGAGTGGTGACAGAGGGCATCCTTGTCTAATGCCAGATTTCAAAGGGAATGCTTCCAGTTTTTGCCCATTCCATATGATATTGGCTGTGGGTTTGTTGTAAATAGTTTTTATTATTTTGAGATATGTTCCGTCAATACCTAGTTAATTGAGGGTTTTTAGCATAAAGGGCAATTGAATTTTGTCCAAGGCCTTCTCTGCATCTATTGAGATAATCGTGGTTTTTGTCTTTGGTTCTGTTTATGTGGTAGATTCTGTTTATAGACTTGTGTATGTTGAACCAGCCTTGCATCCCTGGGATGAAGCCTACTTGATTGTGGTGGATAAGCTTTTTGACGTGCTGTTGCAATCAGTTTGCCAGTATTTTATTGAAGATTTTTGCATCTATGTTCATCATGGATATTGGCCTGAAGTTTTCTTTTCTTGTTGAGTCTCTGCCGGGTTTTGGTATCAGGATGATGTTGGTCTCATAAAATGATTTGGGAAAGATTCCCTCTTTTTGGATTGTTTGGAATAGTTTCAGAAGGAATGGTACCAGCTCCTCTTTGTATGTCTGGTAGAATTTGGCTGTGAACCCATCTGGACCTGGGCTTTTTTTGGGTGGTAAGCTCTTAATTGCTGCCTCAACTTCAGCCCTTGTTATTGGTCTATTCAACGTGTCAACTTCTTCTTGGTTTAGGTTTGGGAGGGTGCAAGTGTCCAGGAATTTATCCTTTTCTTCCAGGTTTACTGGTTTATGTGCATAGAGTTGTTTGTAGTAATCTCTGATGGTAGTTTGTATTTCTGTGGAATCGGTGGTGATATCCCATTTATCGTTTTTTATTGCATCTCTTTGATTCTTCTCTCTTTTCTTTTTTATTAATCTGGCTAGTGGTCTATTTTGTTGATCTTTTCATAAAACCAGCTCCTGGATTTATTGATTTTTTGAAGGGTTTTTTTGTGTCTCTATCTCCTTCAGTTCTGCTCTGATCTTAGTTATTTCTTGTTTTCTGCTAGCTTTTGAGTTTTTTTGATCTTGCTCCTCTAACTCTTTCAATTTTGATGATAGGGTGTCAATTTTAGATCTTTCCTTGCTTATGATGGGGGCATTTATTGCTATACAGTTTCCTCTAGACACTGCTTTAAATGTGTCCCAGTGATTCTGGTACGTTGTGTCTTTGTTCTTGTTGGGTTTGAAGAATATCTTTATTTCTGCCTTCATTTCATTGTTTATTCAGTCAACATTCAAGAGCCAGTTGTTCAGTTTCCATGTAGTTGTGCAGTTCTTAGTTAGTTTCTGAATTCTGAGTTCTAATTTGATTGCACTGTGGTCTGAGAGACTTTTATGATTTCCGTTCTTTTGCATTTGCTGAGGAGTGATTTACTTCCAATTACGTGGTCAATTTTAGAGTTGGTGTGATGTGGTGCTGAAAAGAATGTATATTCTGTGGATTTGGGGTGGAGAGTTCTCTATATGTCTCTTGGGTCCCCAGCTAACTTTTCAGTTTTTTCTAGAGACAGGATCTTGCTGTGTTGAACAGGCTGGTCTTGAACTCCTTGCCTCAAGTGATCCTCCCACCTTGGCTTGTGAAAATGCTGGGATTACAGGCGTGAACCACCATGCTTGGCCCTTATATTAGCTTTTCCGGCTAGGAAAAAAAAAAAAAAAGAAATGATCATTTTGGAAAGAATACCTTTTATTTTGGCAGAATTCCCAGTCTAAACATTATTGGCCTGAGGTCTCCTATCTTTTTGTTGAGACATACCATGAAAGCTGAATGGCATTCTCTCTATCCAACATTTGAAGCAGTTTCCTGACCCCTCACTCTGTGGAACAGCTATTTCAGGGCCCCAGTACATTCGAAATTGGAGGAGGAGGAGGTTATGGAGCTCATCTTAGAGATATATTTTCTTTCAGATAATGATACCTTTCTAGAATAATTTTGTATGTGTCTTATCTCTGTCCTAACACAAGTATGCTTGTCCCTGTCCACCTAAGAAATGGTTAAGCTTATGGGTCTTAGTTATAATACTTTGGCAAATAAGTTTCTTTTGTGCTGAGTAAATAGGTCTGTGCCTTTTAGTGGGAAATAATGACTAGAGTGAAGATAAGCCTGTTTAAGACTCCCCTTTCTTCCTTTTTGTTTTATCTGGTTCCAGTCTTCTTTACTTACTAGTTTTATCCTAAAACATAATTCATTCCATTTTTTATTGAGCTTACTTTTATTTTCCCAGGAGAGAGTTCACAAGCAAAGAACAGTTTGGTACAAAAATTTGCGTAACTTGAAAATTCCAAGGTTTTCCCATAAAGCTGAAAAACAGAGAGCTTATTTCTGTGCTCCGGGTAAACAGCTTAATGGCTGGGACATCTACAAAATGGCTGTGGCCACCCTTCCTCTGCCTGTTTTGAACACCATGTCCAGGGCTTTTCACCTCATGCAGCCTGCATTTGCTCAATGACTGTGGACATCTGGGTGTCATTTTTCTTTCTGTGCCATAGTTTCTTGTACCATGTCCTCCGTGTTGTTAAACAGACCAATTAGGAAACCTGAATAATTTAAATTTTTATTTATAAAATGCTACTGATGCTGATCCCATCAATCAGCATTTTTCTTCCTCAGAGTGGCCCCCAGAGATTTCAAATGGATTTGGCTAGGAGGGTTTGGGTATCTGGTAGGGCCATCACCAGAGAGTCTGGGAGTTTTATTGGCATGTTTGGGCCAAGTAACTTTTTCTGTAAGCTCCATGTTAGGTACTGATGACATTTGTTACGTTTAGGGAACTTAGTGATGCGGACTGCGACGGAGCCCTGACCCTGCCTGAGTTCTGTGCTGCGTTTCATCTCATTGTGGCTCGGAAGAACGGCTATCCGTTACCTGAGGGCCTGCCTCCAACTCTGCAGCCAGAGTACCTGCAGGCAGGTAAGGCCTCACCATAAATTGTAAACCTTAAGTACTTTTCCTCCAGGCTGTGTAAAAAACTTTTGTTTCTTAAAATGATGTCCAGATACTTTAGGGAGACCTTGGTATTTATAGTTATTTTTCTTTAACCGATATTAGACTTTCACATCTCATAATGTGAGGAATAGGGCTGCTCTTGGTAAGTGCGAATTATCTGTTTTTCTCATTCTATACCATCTAGATAGATTTGAACCAAAGTTAGTTACCCTTTCATGACAGTTGTGAAATAGGCAAGTACTGAACTTCCCAGCTGGTGTAAAATGAAGAGGAAGATCTTATAGAGCCAACTGTTAACTTGGCATCTTTAGGCACATCTGTGTCTCCAGGTGGCCCTGGGCGATGGAGTGGAATAGAACTCTTATACCTAATTTAAAAGTCAAAAAATCACATGCAGTGAAATGTGCAAAGCACTATCACCTTAAATGTATGCTTGATGCATTTTTATATATGTATACACCCATGTGACTACAGTCAGATGAAGATACAGAATATTCTAGATTCTAGCATATCAGCGGGTTAGAATAAAACTTAATAAAACAGTCTCACCCAAACTATTGTTTTGGACCCTTTAGATAGGAAAGAGTCATTGTGAGTGTAACATATGTATTAATTCTTTTAGAAGAGTGAAAAATTAATAGTGTGTCTTGCCCTTTTCAAAGGCAAGTGGGCACTGGTCTGATTTCTATTATTCATGGAAGTGTAGTGCTCATTGAGAGGCCCTAGAGACAGCTGGTGCTTTCAACAACCTTTCTCACTTTTTAGGGAAGGGCTGTTAAAGAAATGAGAGCTTAGTCATGGGTGATTATTAGCAAGAGGGAGCAGTGTCTAAAGAAACTATAATTACTTATTAGTAGAGTATAAATTTTGTGATTAGATCTACAAAAGGCCTTAGTTTATCTTGTCTAGTCCCTTCCTGATGACACCAGATTCAAAGTGGCAAATGTCTTATCTAAGTCAGTCTCAGAGCCTCTGACTTTTTTAGGTAAAAAGTCTGTCATTTTCTGTGTTAAATTAGCAAGAGGATAGGAACTCAAAGGGAAAAGGCTATGTTTGTGGCAGCTGTTAAGTGACAGGTAAACATGTTGGGAGAAGGTGACCCATTCTGGGATCTTCTTCACATGTCCCCATAAAATACAAGAAGGGGAGAGTTCAGAGAGCAAAACCTAAATTTCTGGACTTGGATTTTGCTAACAATACCTGCTTTCTGCCTACTGCAGTCTGTAAGTCTAGCCTGCTGCCCCTTCTTAGATGCTGGGAAGACTCTCAAGGGTCCCAGGAATAAACTTGCAGCTGAGGAGCATGGGAAACTGCTCTTTTCTCTTTGCTCTCTCCTCTCCTCCCCTCCCTTCTCCTCCCGTCTCCTCTCCTCCCCTCCCCTCTCCTCCTCTCTCCTCCCCTCTTTTCTTTCTTTCCCTCTCTTTCCCTCTTTACACCTGCCGCTCGCTTGCGCGCGCGCTCTCCCTCCCTTCCATCTGGGGGTTATCTTGACGCCTACATGGCTCTCATTGACAAGGCAGTGCAGGGTCATAGAGGAACCCCTTTTCTTGGGATTGGAGACAACAGGTGGCAAAGGGCCAAGATCTGTTCTAGGGTTAGTTATATTTAATATCTTTACTGTGCCCTCTTTTGAGCCTTGGGGAAGAGTCCTGGGTAACCTTATCTCCCATACCCACACTGAGTTTTCTGATTGGGGGTCATGACTAGTGCTGTTTTATTGTTTTGATGCCATATGGCCATGGAACCTGTGGCAAATGCCATGCCTTGTTATTTGACAAGTCACTTTTGTAGGTGTCCAAGTGTTTCACAGACTGTTTCAAAAGTCACTGACATAATGGCCCGGTGTGGTGGGTCACACCTGTAATCTCAGCACTTTGGGATGCCAAGGGAGGCGGATCACTGAAGGTCAGGAGTTTGAGACCAACCTGGTCAACATGGTGAAACCTTGTCTACTAAAAATACAAAAATTAGACAGGTGTGGTGGTGCGCATCTGTAGTCCCAGCTACCAGGGAGGCTGAGGCAGGAGAATCACTTGAACCTGGGAGGCAGAGGTTGCAGTGAGCCAAGATCATGCCGCTGCACTCCAGCCTGGGTGACAGAGCTAGACTCCATCTCAAAAAAAAAAAAAAAGTAAACTGACTTAATTTTTAGACACCTGAAAGCCATGAGCTAAAAGTATGTTAACAGGAAAGAAGTAATCTCTTGATTCCTTTCCTACTGCAAATGGCTTCTTTTGACCTGCTTATTCAATAGAGGAGTTATAAAAAAAGAGTGCCAATGAAATGCCATCTTTCTTCACATGAAAGGAAGCCCCATGTTTGTTCCTGGTCTTTTATGGAGACTGTCAGCATGCATTTATAAACGAGGGAAGAATTCATCATATACACGTCAGTTAAACAAAAATTGCACATCATTTCCAGGGCTTGTGGGATTAATTTTAATTAATAATTTTATAGTTCTAATGGAAAACATGAAATAACTCATAAAATCCTATCAAATTCAGTGATAGCATATTTTAAAATGCTTTATCACCCATGTTTATCATTGTATGAAGCTTAAGAAAATGACCAGAACCATTTAGGTCTTCTCTGTGCTTTCTTTTATTTTTGCTTTTCTTTGCAAAATATGAATGATCCTATTCATTTTTTTGTTCATTTTGTGTGTGTGTGTGTGTGTGTGTGTGTGTGTGTGTGTGTGTGTGAGAGACAGAGTCTCGCTCTGTTGCCCAGGCTAGAATACAGTGGTGTGATCTCAGCTCACTGCAACCTCCACCTCCGAGGTTCAAGCAACTCTCTGCCTCAGCCTCCCGAGTACCTGGGATTATAGTCGTCCACCACCATTACCAGGCTAATTTTATGTACTTTTAGTAGAGACGGGGTTTCAGCAAATTGGCCAGGCTGGTCTTGAACTCCTGCCCTTGTGATCCACCTGCCTTGGCCTCCCAAAGTGCTGGGATTACAGCCGTGAGCCACCATGCCTGGCTTTTTTTTTTTTTTTTCCCCATCTTAATGGCATTTCATTTAGTTTTTTTTTTTTTTTTTAAAAAAAGCTTGACTCTTTTTCCAGCATTTTTCTAATTGATCTATATTCAGTCTTTAAAAGTCTAATCCAGTTTTTGATAAGATTGGTGAAGTGTATAAATTTGGTTGATATCTTTATGCATTTATAACTAGACAAGCTTGTTTCTAAAACAATAATTTTTTTTTTGAGGCAGAGTCTCACTGTATCACCCAGGCTTGAGTGCAGTGGCATGATCTTGGCTCACTGCAACCTCTGCTTCCCAGGTTCAAGCTATTCCCCTGTCCCAGGCTCTTGAGTAGCTGGAACTACAGGCACCTGCCACCATGCCTGGCTGATTTTTGTGTTTTTAGTAGAGACGGGGTTTCACTATGTTGGCCAGGCTGGTCTTGAACTCTTGGCCTCAAGTGATCCACCCACCTCAGCTTCCTAAAGTGCTGGGATTATAGGCGTGAGCTACCCACAGCACCTGGCCTGTTTTCTAAAATAATGGAACAGGAATTGTATCTGATGCCATTTTACTTGCAATTATAGAAATAGTCCGTTTTCCCTAATAGTAAAACTTCAAGGACAGAGTTGTATTATTTAGTGGCTTACTCACTAGCCTTCTGATAGTTTCGTCAAAAGTTGCCTTTTGATAGTTTTGACCAGCTGCTGTGGCTCACACCTGTAATCCCAGCACTCTGGGAGGCTGAGGCTGGAGGATCACTGGAGGTCAGGAGTTCAAGACTAGCCTGGGTAACATGGTGAAACCCCGTCTCCAGCAAAAAATACAAAAGTTAGCCAGGCATGGTAGTGCGCACCTGTGGTCCCCAGCTACTCAGGAGGCTGAGGCAGGAGAATCGCTTGAACCTGGAAGGCAGAGGATGCAGTGAGCCATGATAGTGTCATTGCACTCTCGCCTGGGTGACAGGGCAAGACTCTGTCTCAAAAAAAAAAAAAAAAAAAAAAAAGCCACCTTTTGATAGGTGATTGGGTGGGTTCTGATATAAATTTTTGTCATAGAGTTTGTTTAAAAATATCTATGGAGTACTTACTGTGTGAGAGGTAGCACATCATTCTCTGTGGTCAGAATGCTGTATGAAACAGATCTCCTGTATAGTTGATACATGCTATGAAGGGGAAGTACAGGTGCAGCAACAGGGTGCATGACCTTGGGGAAGATATCCTTAAACATCTGGGCTGAGATGTGAAGGCTGAGCTAGGGGCTACATAGGCGAAGAAGGGAGAAGCGGGGTCCTGGGAAAGGGGAGCGGCAGGTATGCTGGGGAGGCTCTTAGAGGCGGCTCTGAGCACAGGAGGAGTGGGAATTTCAGGCCACAGTGTCTGGCGTGCACAGAACCAGGGGTAGAGGGACTGGGATGAGGCTGAGGAATAAGGTGGGGAACAAATGACAGGCAATAATTGTTGCTTTATTTTAGGCAGATAAATGACACAATCAGATTTCATATGTGAAATGATCATGCTGGTTACGGTCCAGAGAACAGATTCTGAGGGGCATGGGTAGAAACTGGGAGACCAAGTTGTGGTAGCTGGCCAGTCAGGAGCAGTGGGGCACTTGCACTGGGGAGGCGACGGTGAGATGGAGAGATGTGGACACCTTGGAGAGAGATTTAGCAGGTGATTGACAACATTTATAGTTTTGGAAAGTGTTAGCTTTCTTCACAGGAAGGATCCCCTCATGATAAAGCATCAGTCATATTATTCTAGTCAGAGCCCTGATTGGTAGATCAGAAAGATAAATCTTAATAATGGTTCACACCACTCTTGGGGCTGGACTGAGGAATGGTTCTTTGAAAGGTGTTTACTGAGTTTTTACTAAGGAAACAGACTATGAGGTATGGTCAGAAAAACCACCAGGGCCCATAGTTTGCCCCATCTGATATCAGTGAAGTTCTAACTAGAGTAAGCAAATGAACAAATTAAGATGCTTGCACTCAACTCCATGTGGTACTGATACTTGGACCAGTACTTACTGATTTTATGTATTTATTTTTTGAAATTAGATAGACACGTAGGTATGTAGGTAGGTAGATACATAGATGATACTGGGTCTCACTCTGTTGCCCAGGCTGGTCTCAAACTCCTGGGCTCAAGCAATCCTCCTCCTGCCTCAGCCTCCCAAAGTGCTGGCATTACAGGTGTGAGCCACCATGCCTGGCCAATGGCCAGTACTTTACTGCAGAAGGATATTGGCATTTCAGTCCCTGGTGGGAGTGGGAGGGTGGGGAACAATTAAAAATAATGCCAATCCACTTTTCACATTTGATTCAAAATTATTATTATTATTTTTTTGAAGTAAGATTCAAAATTTTTAAACCTTGCATTACAATTTCATTTCCTAATAGCTTGTCTTGACATATTTGATTTGTAGCTTGTTTATTATCTCTCACAGTCTGCTTTTCCTCTTTGGAATATTGACAAATTTTCTAGCTGTTGAAATATTTCTTTCCTAATTACTTTGTGACAAACTAGTGAAGCAGAATCTGCTTCTAAGACATAGCCTGGTGTGAAGTAATTAGCTTACCAAGTAGCCTGATCTTTTCTCATGTGAATTCATTCAACTACCCAAATAACAGCCTGTGTCACTGTTGCATATTGAAAGCAACCCTTAATGTGATTCTTTTTTCTTTGTTGTAAATCAGCAAGAATTTATGCTCTTATTTTTATCATTCCTGCCAACCAAGGAGTTAAATATTTCATAAAATTAACTTGGGTGCACATCATTATAAGATCTCGCCTATTTCCAACAGTAGTTAAATGATGTATTTCCTTAATGTTGCTATATATTAGAAATTACCCTAGTAACATAGTTAAGACTTATGTTTGTGATAGTGATGGTTAATGTGGAAAATTACTATGCTATAACATGAAATGTTCAGAGCACATACCCTTCAGCCAGACTACTGGGAGTTCAAGTCCCTGCTCTTCCATTTATCAGCTGTATGACCTTGAGTAAGTTGCTTAACTTCCCTGTTCTTGGTTTCATCACATGTGGAATGGGTATAATAGAAGTACTGGGGTTGTCCATGTATAGAACTTAAAATACCTCAGCATGATGAATGCCATAAGTGGTATATCGAAGCAAGCTGATTTTGTTGTTATATTTAACAAGCACAGAAAAGCCAATGGGAAACACCGATTACTATGGCTATAGGAAATGTTCTTATATATTCTTTTTGTTTCTTCCTAGCTTTTCCTAAGCCCAAGTGGGACTGTCAATTATTTGATTCTTATTCTGAGTCATTGCCGGCAAATCAACAGCCTCGTGACTTGAATCGGATGGAGGTGAAAGATCTTCATATGTGAATAAATAAGGATGTGTGTGGAGTTAAATCCATTAGCCTATGTTCTTTACGAACTCTGGAAAAGGAACTTTCCTTTTGTTTGAAAATGAACTTTTATAATATTTTCTCTTTATACTTGGAAATTATTAATATTTTGATGCTCAGCCTTTTAGATCTAGACACCAGATGTATCTATAATTTTTTTTCCCTTTTCTCCCTAAAACTGGATGTGGTAAAGTAAGTAACATAATCTCTAGACCTTCTAGAGGTAACATGTAGGTATAGCCAAACTAAGCCAGAAAATTCTAGCCAAGTTATTTACTTTAACCAAGCTTTAATTCCCTGGTAAACAATTTTAATTGTATTTTTTATCAGCTGGGCATTAATACGTTATACTGAACCAGAACTGTTTTGAGAGGAGGTTTGAGAACTTTATATGAGGGACCCAAATCACATTCGGAGCTCCCTCAGGGTTTTTAGCTTTTGGACCAAATGAGGACTGATTTGGATGATCCCCAAAAGGAACTCGGAGAATTCCCCCAGTGTTGGGCCATGGATGGGAGAGCTTAGCCAAGTGCTCAGGGAGCCTTAGCTATGGATCAATAAATAGGAGTTGTTATAGTTATTGCTGTCATCACCACTGTCATGGTCGTCATCATCACCATTATGATTACTATGATGACAACTTAGGATACCTGCTGTTCCCTTCCTTAAAAGACCTGGAAATGTTTAATAAATGGAGCTTTACTCACAGACTCCTATTAGAGTCCTCTGACCCAAGTTGAAACCACTATAAGATGATAGAAGTCAAAGGCAGGGAACAGGGACATTTCTTTAATTTCTTGTGACTGTGCATGATGATTTATCCTCTTACATGAGTCCCTCATGCCTGTAGCATGTGTTATGGATGGCACCTTCTGCTCCCCTGCGAGCCAGTCAAGCCTGCCTCTCCAGTGCCCCTCTAACATCTCTCTTGACACTTTGCTCCTCTTTCTTTGAGTTGTAGCCTTCCTGGTAGTTTCCTCAGATTTCTACTCATGGGAAAAAGATATAAAGAAAAGTCATTTCAGGAGGAATGACAAAGGTGCATTTGAAGAATTTTGATTAAAATTTTTTCTTCAGAATGCATATGACAAGGAGACAGATAAAATAGTTTGCCACTTTTCATGGCCCTCAGTTTACTTTGGTGCTTCTAGCAGTGTTTGAAGAGCTTTATCAAGCGAGGATGGTTATCTCTATAGCTCTCTGACTCCGTGTGTGTGTGTGTGTGTGTGTGTGTGTGTGTGTGTGTGTGTGTGTGATGGCTCCTCTGCTTACATAAAATGATGAGGTTATTAGTTGATCTTCCTTAGAATGGCCATAAAATTTGTTACACACACACACTCCCTCTCTCTCTCTCTCTCTCTCTCTCTCTCTCTCTCTCTGATGCCCTTGATGACGTTACATATATTCACCTTTGTGGACATTATATGCAGCTAGTTTCATATGCTCTTGTATATTTTAAGTGGTCTCCTTGGGTAGGGGAGATTAAAAACTATCTAGTGTTTTTTTTTTTTTTTTGACCCTATCCAAAGAGAAAGCAAAACAACGATAAAAACTACCTCTTTTCCAACCAGATTGTTATTTTTGAGGATGGTATAGTTTTAGACAATGAATGCAATAAACAGAATTCAAGGACAAAGTAATAGGGTTAATTGGTGGTTTGTCCATTTGAGAAGTATAGGTCAAATTGTAATAATTAATAATTCAATATTTCATGTTCTTCTAAACTATTACTGATTGTTCTTTCTACTGGTCTTTTCATCTATCATGAATGTGTGGAGTTTAACTAGGTTTTGGAACCAGCCCTCTGATCAATGACTCCAGCATAGGTGCTTGTGTTCTGAAAAAGCTGCAGTTGATTTAGGTCTCAGGTCATGAGAAATTGGCATAGTGAACATCTTTTACTAAAGACAGCAGAGCTATAACCATGTGCTTATTTCCATTAAGAATTATAGATGATAATTTCAGGTATATTCTTCTTTATGAGTGTCTCTTAGATTACTGGATTTCTTTCTTTTTCGAAACAGCTTTATTGATGTAGACTTTACATACCATACCAATTTAAAGTATATAGTTCAGTAATTTTTACTATATTAATAGTTGTTCAGCCATCACTGCAGTTTAATTTTAGAACATCATCTGCCCAAAGAGAAACCCAATACTTATGAGCAGTCACTTCCTATTTTCCTGTCTCTGCCAGCCTCTGATAATCACTAATCTATTTTCTGTCTCTGGATTTGCCTATTCTGGACATTTCATATAAATGGAAGCATATAGTATGTAGTGTTTTGGGACTGTCTTCTTTCACTTAGTATAATGTTTTCAAGGTTCACTCAGATCATAACATGTATCAGTGCTTTATTCCTTTTTAATGCTGAATAATGTTCCATTGTATGGGTATGCTACATTTTGTTTGTCCATTCATCAGTTGATGGACATTTGCATTGCTTCCACTTTTGGCTATTGTAAATAATGCTGCTATGAACATAGATGTACAAGTTTTTGTGTGGATGTGTATTTTTGGTTCTCTTGACTATATACCTAGGAGTGGAGTTGTTGGATTGTATCATAACTTAATTTAACTTTTTGAGGAACTATCAAACTGCTTTCCAAAGCAACTACACTATTTTACATTGACACCAGCAGTGTATGAGGGTTCCAGTTTTCCCACGTCCTTGTTAACACTTATTGTCTGCCTTTTTGATTTTAGACACCCTAGTGGAATGAAGTGGTATCTCATTGTGGTTTTGATTTGAGTTTCCTAATGACCAATGATGTTGAGCATCGTTTTGTGTGCTTACTAGCCATTCGTGTATCTTCTATGGTGAAGTATCTAAGTCCTTTGTCCATTTTGAAATTGAATTACTTTTTTTTGCCTAGGATTGTCTTGGCTATGCTGGCTCTTTTTAGGTTCCATATGAAATTTAAGGTGTTTTTTTTTTTTTTTTTTCCCAATTCTGCGAAGAAAGTCAGTGGTAGCTTGTTGGGGATAGCATTAATTCTATAAATTACTTTGGACACTATGGCCATTTTCATGATATTGATTCTTCCTAACCATGAGCATGGAATGTTTTTCCATCTGTTTGTGTCCTGTCTTATTTCCTTGAGCAGTGGTTTGTAGTTCTCCTTGAAGAGGTCCTTCATATCCCTTGCTAGTTGTATTCCTAGCTATTTTATTCTCTTTGTAGCAATTGTGAATGGGAGTTCACTCATAATTTGACTCTCTGTTTCACTATTACTGGTGTCTTGATAATTTTAGATTTGTAGTAATTTTTGAAATCAGGAATTGTGAATCATTTAACTTTGTTCTTCTTTTTCAAGAATATTTTGCTATTCTGACTTTTTTGCATTTCTATTTGAAATTTAGGACAAGCTTGCCAAATTCTGACAATAAAATATTCCATTGAATTTGTAGATCAGTTTGGAGAGTATGGCCATCTTATCAATACTAAGTTTTCTAACTCATGAACATGAGATGTCTTTCCATTTATTTAGATATTTAATTTCTTTCAACAGTTTTTTGAGATTTCTTTTTATCTACATTGCCTGCTCCTAAATTATGTTATTCTCCCAAGGGGTCTGATTTATAATGCAGGGGGGAGAAGGCAGTGAAAGAAATGCATTATTATGATACATTGTCTGTTCTTTTGGAGATAGACTTCGAATAGGAAATTATATCTGGACACTTCCTTTTAATGTCAAGAATTACCTAAGTGAAGACTGTTAAATCATAGACCAGTTTCCTACTAAGTAATACTTCAGTCTCTTTTTCCGGAACAGTTTGAAAACAAAAGTATTGCTTATCTCTCTGGGGTTGTTTAGGTTCTGAGAGGTAAACCATTAACTTTTTGGAACACTAGATGGCTACTCTCCTTCCTTGAAGATAAATGTTAAAATTTACCTTTGATTTATGACTGTTTTAAATATAAACAATATCAAAAAACATAGGATGACAAGTCCTCCTCCCATCCCTTTCCTTCATCTACCAAGTCACCTTTCAATTTTTACATATCTTTCCAGAGTTGGTGTATGAAAATAAAGCAAATGTGAATATATATTATTCTTTAACTGAATCTTGTCATAGGCCTTAGAGTGCATATTCTTTTCCAGCTTTGAGGTATAATTGACAAAAAGTATATATTCACAATGTTTCGATCTATGTATATATTGTGACATGATTATGGCAATCAAGCTAATTAACATATCTGTCATCTTACATAGTTACCTTTTTTGATGTGGTGAGAACATTTAAGGTCAACTCCGTTAGCAGTTTTCAAGTATACCACACATTGTTATTAACTATAGTTAGAATGTGTGTTAAATTGAGAATTTATAAGAAATAAATCTATAGTAAGTAGATTTTATTACCAGTTAAAAAAACTCGTACTTGATAGATTTGGGTATTCATATTAGTATAAGTGAGGACTTCCTCTATATTTGCATTAGGATAAAATTTTAATCTGTTCATCAATAAAATTCTTTTATCCCACAAGAACGCTGTTATGTTCAGGTTTAGACACCATCTGCATGACAGATCTTGGCAAACACCCACATTGTGGGGCCACTTGTCAGAACTTCTTTGTGTTTGTAAAAAAAAAAAAAAAAATACATAAAGGACAGGTTTGTTCTTGGCCAAATGGACAAGAGTTGCTATACAGTTCTCTGGCTGCATCCCAGTCTGAATTCAGATTCAATACATATGCCTTAATCTGAACCATTTTTTTCTTCTGTGTGTAAAATTTCAATACAAATTAACATATATCTCACTAGGAACCTAAAAAAATAAGATAGTATTAAATGACAGGGTTTACTGTAGACAGGAATGTTGGCAAGAAATACTAGCTTTTAAGCCATTTTCATCATATGTACATATCACTTAATTTCCATTCCAACCAGTTTAATTCATTTACTTTTCTTTTTCAAAGAAGACATCTGTTAAAGACACAGCTGACCTTCCTGTCCCTACCCAAGATGTGACTGGTGATGACAAACAAGGTAGGAAAATAATGAGTTTTCTTCCTTAATCAGTGTTCTACCTCTGTTTTCTTATCTACTCCTCTTGGAATGGTGGCCTCTAGAGCATATGAGGATGGTTCTCAGCATGTAAACACATTTGGATAGATTAAATAGTTCAAATCATAAAACAATAGTTCACAAAGTGATAGCAAGAGCTTGAGTGTCCAGAATCTTCCAACTTATTGACCCCTTAGTCATTGCTGGCCTTCAGGCTACTCTAACACCTCACACTGGAATCTGATCGTAGCAATTAGGAAATAACTAGAAACTGAATGAATTGAGAGCTTAACATCTTGTGTTTGCAGATGTGATCCCAGACATCAGTGTAAATGCACATTTACACACAGCTCTAATCCATCAGGAAGTTATCTTCTGGACAGAGCTTCTGTCCGTAGCATTTATCTGTTTCTTGGCTTTGTGACTGTGGGAGTGTGGCATGGAGCCCAGCTACAGCTTTCCTATCTTACTGGGCAGCTAAGAAGCAGTGCAGCACATGTTCCGTGTTAGAGCTACTCCCAGGGATGAGTTGGCCTGGGAATATCTAGAAGTGTGGAAGGGACCATCTTCCCCCGCTTCCTATACTTTGTATAGTGCTTTATAATCTACCATGTCCTTCCTCATATACTGTTTTATTCAGTCCTTACAAAACTAAATGGAAGCTTGATGTTTTATCAACTAAAATTTAGAGATGAGTAAAGTGAAATTCAGACACTATGAATCATTTGCTTAGTTATTAAGAAAAAGATTTGGGGCAAGAACCAAGATTTTTTCTAAGCCTCAAGCCAGTATTCTGCCTGTTATTTGATATTGATTTACTACTCATGAATGAGAGGCTTATTTGAAAGGACTAAAAGTCAGTGAAGCTATTTCAGGTTCTATTGTTGAGGCCTGCCATTGATTAGGCATTGTATGGGGGCTAAACATGAAAAATAAGTTTTCCATTAAGCGACAGTAATTGCATGCTCTCTATTTAAATACTTGCTTGGGAGAGACAGGTAGAACTGGGCAACATGTACTCTGACCATTCTCCTAACTGCATAGTGGAATAACTGGGCAAGCTGTAAAAGTATTGAAGCTCGGATTTTACTCCCAGGAATTCTCATGTCATTGGTCTGGGTGTCAGGAATGAAAGAGGGAAAAACTCCTGATACTTCTTGGTAGTACTCCTGTCTGCTAGAGGTGCTCTCTCTGGAAAGTTGAAAAATACATCTTTGCTCTTTGTAGAAGGATAACCTGTTTCCATACTCCAGGAGGTCTTTATTGTTTTAGTAAATGCTATAGCAACTTTTAGAGGTTTGTGAGACCTGTTTTTGTAAGTGATGACTAGGGATTCTTTGTTTTAATGTAATTTGCCTCACAAATAACATTTTATAGTTTTTTTTTCTTTTTTTCCTCTTTTTTCTTTCTTGTTCCTTAAAAACAAAACACTGCTAGTTTTGAAAAGTACTGTCAATGAAGCCTTACCAAAGGACGTGTCTGAGGATCCAGGTAGGAGAAAACCATTTTTGTATACTTTCTATATAATTTTTTAAAATTAAAAAACCAGCAAGTCAGTGAGTAGAAGATTGATACCTCTGTGATAGTGTGTCTGTTTCTATTTATTTGTCTTGTATTTTATTACAAGGAAACCTTTTGGCTTTTTACCCTTTCTCTCTTTTCAGATATAAAAACAGGGTGATATCTTTTTAAGTTTTTAAGTTTCACTGAAAGGATCACAAAGCATCACTCAGTGTAAATATAGGGTCTTGTTACTAAGTGTAAAATTGAGAAAGCTTGAGGTTGAGATGATTTCAATAAGCCATTTTAGACTTTTTGTAGAGTAAGGAACCTATAGGGTAGATCAATTGGAGGCCCAGAGTTGGTGTTTTCCATTTCCAAAGCAGAAGTCTCAAATATTTTTATTATGCTTCACCACCAGGAAGGCAAAACTATATGTACTTATATATGGAGTGGATTCCAAGGAGCAAAATTAAAGTTGTCCAGTTTTTTGGAGAGTCAGACCTGTGTCTTTGGAGCCATGGAGAATGGCCGCACCTGTGTCCCCAGCTCTCTGTTGGTAGAGCCATCACTGAACCAAGTTGAACCTAGTTAAAAACAAAGTGGCTACAGAAGACATTACTATTTGGAGCTCTAGTTATAAGGACATGAAAGAAGTTGTTGATTTCTCTTTTGCTGTTATCTTTCTTGCATGTTTTTAATAAGTCAATCATGTTTGTTGTGATAAGCTAGCTATCATCCCTGGGCTTATTGAACGTTGGAGCAGAGGAATCAATATAATGTTGAGGCTTATGCTGTGGTAAAATATTTCCCAAATGTCAAGTTCTTTCAGAGTTTCAAAGAGAGATGGGTGGAGGGAGAGGAAGGAGTTAGGGGAGTGGGAGAAAAGATGGTGGAGGGAAATGGGGTGGAGAGAGAGAGAGACAGAGAGACAGAGAGAGAGAGAGAATATGAGAATGAGAATAAATATGAATGAATGTGGATGATGGATTTCAATTATGGAGGTCTGAGAATCTGTATTTCTACTTAGCTTCCCAATTGGTTCTGGTACATAGCCTATTTTGGGAACCACCACATCTGGAAGGTGATGCTACAAAATAGAACATTAAGGTTATAGATTAATCATGACTCCAAAAGTGATGGGAATTCCCAAGCTTAATTTTGACTTATGAAACAGATTTGAATTTATTCCTCATTGGGTAAAATGCTCTGTTAATGTAGGCCAAACACCTGGAGTCAGTTCTTTCTAGCTCTAATTTCTGGAACTAAAGTGGATACATTCCAGTTTTCGTAAACTTCATGTTGTAGTATTAGTAAAAGCTGTTTAAATTTGGAGTGTTAAATTGGTGTTTCTCCGATAGCCTTTGAGGATCATAACTCTTCCTACTTTTTTGTTTAAAAGGAATTTAAACACAAGATCAAGTGTCCTGTGGGGCATGAGCTTTAGATCTCATTTTTAACATTACTTCATTGTCTAGGACATGGTATCACCAAATAAAACTTGACAGGTGTGCCACAGCATAGGAAGTATGTCAATTTATTTCACATTGTGCCCAGGAGCATGGTATGTGTTTTCTAATTTGTTCTTCCCCACTGCTGCCCTTCTCTGGGTATGAGAGAGTTCCTCATCTTAAACATAGTTAATCCCTCCTTTTCTGGGAAATGTTTAGATTCTCAGTGGAAGACACAATAGTTTCAAGATGGTGATTTAGAATTCTGGATGGCTGTCCATGCCACGTGGGCCTCAGTTCAGTCGCTGCCTTTTGGAAGGTTAATCTCTAGGCCTGCTCCTCTTCCCATTCCCATTTCCTGGAAAGATGACACGCCTTGAGTCTTCTAGGAAGTTGGCATTCCTCTTCCCTCTTTCCAGCTATATAAGAAGCTGTGATCTGTTTGTCGTAATTGCTAGAAGTGTCTATATTAGTGGAGTCTTAAGAGATTTCTTAAACAATACCCATTCCAACCTAATTCAGCAGAGCACCCTGCACAATGGTGGTCTTTTTCTTGATGTCTCTGGCTCATGCTGAGGTGTTTTTGGCTGGTTCACCCTCACAGTGCTGTCTTCAGACTGCTGTTGGTGATTCTAGCAGCTGCTCCATTGCCAACTATTGCCCCATGGTTTTATTGGGATAGAGCAGTTCTCTCCTTCCGTTACCTGCTCCCACCTGCCCCTCCTCTGCTGTTCTAGAAGGAACTAAATTTAGAAATCAGATTTCCAGGCTTGAAAAATTAGGAGACTTTATTTATGTACTCTATAATAGTAATATTTTACAATTCTAAAATACATTTAATTTTTAAAATACTTTCACCGTATCTGTCCCTGTGAGAAAGAGACTGCGTTTTTATGGTCTTTGTTTTCTAGGTAAGGAGACTGAGGTTCAGGGAAGTAACAGCTACTTAGTGTCATAGCCAGGAGGAGCGCCCTGGTCTCAGGACTCCTGGCCTGGTCTCTAGTCCTGTCTCTCCACTACTCATCCACACCCTCACCCCATCTGTCTGTCTGTCTGTCTGTCTGTCTGTCTGTCTGTCTATCTCTTACCAGCAGGGCTCACCCCTCCTTCCACACCCATCCCTACCAGCAAACAGACAAAGATAATGGCAGTTGACAAAGGAATTAAAAGTCACCATGGTCTGGCTTGGGGAACAGTATTTTATCATGGCTGGGACCTCTCCTACCCACGTATTTCTTGAAAGCAGTGGGGCCTGAGGGAGAAGAGGGCCACGGAGCCAGCTGCAGGCAGCCTGCGCAGAGGGCTTCCCCAGCTCTGCGGTGAGTCTGGTCCACTCTGTCCACCCAGCCCCAAGGCAGCCTCCTGGACTGGGAGAGAGGCTTCTCAAGGCTGCTTTCTTTGCTACTTGGGGTTTATAGGAGGGAGGGAGGTCTTTTTCTGTCTATATCTAGGTGCGAGTGCACAATAATGTGCAAAAGGGGACTCAAACTCCTTGGGCTTTCCAGGCTTTCCTGTGCCCTGGCAGTGTTTCAGCTATTTGAAACTGGAAGATGCCTGTGTTCTCACTACAGCAAGCCAGAATGCTTGGGTTGGGAGAAGTGCATCTCTCTGCAGCTGACCAGTAGTTTACTTTGTGCCTTGTTAGCATTTATGAGGATTTTCGCCTTCCCTCTCTGCCCTGTTATCTAACCCAAGCATTTTAATGATCATCATGAATTCAGGCTGCTTCATACCAAGGAGGGTTTTTCTCTTTGGAGCAATGTAAAAGAGGATGAGATTGTGCAGAGACATTTTCTTTTCAGAAGAATTCATGCAAACAAAGAAATTACATTCTTCTGGTTCTGTGTTACTAGCACCTTTCTATGATTTCTTATGACATTTTATGATGAAAAATTTGCAATGTTTGTAACACCTGAGCATAGCTACTGGTTCCTAAAGTTGTCTTCCATAGAGGATTGAAAGCATAAAAAGAGGATCAATGTTTTTGTAAATGCTTCTAATTACTCCTCACAACTTGTGAAGGGAAAGTAGGCTCTATAGGTGTTGTCAATTAGCAAGTTAGCTTATGATTTAAATTTAATGAGGAAAAGTCATATGACTGGCAAAAGATTCAGTGATTTTGTTTCATAATTCTCTGTATGATTTAGTCACAGAGATATGGGACACAAGGATATTTTCTTACAGGAGAAGCCGTATAGCTCATTTCAACTTACTTGTGAGAGCTTTGGTTTTCTGTGGCCATGCTGCTCTGGTAGTGTATTTAAAAAAAACAACAACATGTAACTAGATAGACTTCCTCCTATCCTTCAGGGTAGACTGGTTCAAAATCTATTATGAGGCTATCATGATAGACCAAGAAACCCTCACGTGTGAATCCATCATTATATAAAAAGACAACTCTTTCAAGGGGTTATCTTTTTATACTGGAATGTCTTCATTAATCAACTTGGATTTGAGAATGGCCTCTCAAATAGTGCTCTGGCCAAAGGAAAAATATTCTGGTTTTCCTTTCCTTTTAATTGTGCCTTTAGATTTTGAAATAAAATGAGGAAATCATGAAAATGTGGGAGCCATCCAGTTCTCCACATGGGCACTTTTACCTCACATTTATCTGTTGATATGTTCTGTACTAGCCCAGGTGCTGCATATAAACCTGTTTAATTGCAGAAATGAAACCCAAACAAACAACAAATAATCTTTGTTTCAGCAACTCCCAAGGATTCCAACAGTCTCAAAGCAAGACCAAGATCCAGGTAGTGTTCGTTTAATTTCTGCTTTAATGCCCTTTGTGCCCTGCCCCTGCCTAGAAAGAAAAACTACAAACCAAAAACTCAGTACATGATTTCCTCTTCCTTTAGGTGTAAAGCTTAGGATATGAGGCATTTCACTCATGCATGGCCTGTTGGGAATGTGTAGTGATGCTGGGAGCCTTGGTTTCTGTATTCATTAGTGCTAGAAGGTGGTGGCTAATGCCCTATGGCCCCTCCACGTGAAGTGGATTGTGTGAGATGACCCACTTGTTGCAAGATGATAACTAATAGGGGGAAGTAGATTTGGAAAGGGGAAAATATGGGTAAGGTAATGAACACAAAAATTTGCTATCATGACAAGGTGAACACCAAAAAGTAAAAAGTCTGGGTAATAAAATCTAGAGTAGGGAAAGAAAATGCTTGTATGCTTGTGATAACTTCAGTGAAGCTTGCAGCTTCAGGTAAGCAATGCTTATGGTCTGTTAGAGCCTATCTTAGTACCCCTTCTCGGCTTCACATTTTTTTAAGAGGTTAGTAAAAGACAGAAAGCCAGTAAAGCAGAGCTGTGGTTGATGTGAGACTCAGAAAAGAGGAGCAGAGGGGAAATACAGACACTTAATAGAATTAATCCATTAAGGAAGGGAAATGCTTTTCACTGGTAGAACTGCAGTGTAAGGATACCAAGGATACCATGCGTGTGTTTTCTGTTTTGCTTTGGCTCTTAGTGACATTTTTCCCTCCTTTGCCTACTAGACACAATCCTGAAAAAGTAAATTTAAGTCTGATCATATTTTGTATGCTTGAAATGCTGGTATTTAAGGAACTTCATCTCTTTGTAAGTCAAAGAGTTACCCTTTAGTTTCTATCTGCATTTTCCAAATTGGAGTTTTGTTTCCTTGTTTATATAAGATACAGATATCTATATTTTTATATTTACCAATATTTAAAAACAGTAGAGTAACTCATTTAGGTAGGAAGGAAAGGTGTAGGCATTCTTTTCCTCTGTGGTCGACACATTTACTCATCCTTTTTTAAAGGATGAATAGATCTTTTACAAACTAGTCTGTACTAGTTTTGGGATATACTTTCTAGTAGGAAATGCCTTTGAATTGCAGAAATCTGCTATGTGTACTGTGTTAACCATAAATAGAACTTCAAAGTTTTAGCTTCTGCTGACTTTCTCTCTCCCAGAAAGCCAGTGAAATTATAAAATCTCATAGCCACATATTCTATTATTAATGTGTCTGACTAAATTTTACATATCCTTTCAGAGATTGCTCTTTTTGTCTAATTTGGATGATTTTATTTTCAGTACTTCCCACTGGGAAAACCAAAAGAATAGAATTATTTTTATCTTCCTTTACGAATTAATAAATTTTTGTAGAAATATAAGGGAAAGAGAGAAAATCACCATTCTAACACCACTGCATTCATCATTTTGTTAATTCCTTGCACATTTATGTTTTAATTGGTTGCAGCAGTCATGGTTATACAATCTCACTTTTTTATATTCAGTAACTTTCCATATGAAGATATAAACATACAGGTTATATATGAAAATAAAATGAAAATGAATATGCACTATGGGATTGTGTGCTTAACTATATGATGCACACACATCATTTATACACACATTATTCTTTTTTGAATGAAAGATGTCACTACAGCTATATGTGGCATAGAAAGTTCTTTTTATTTCTAGCTAGTATCTCTAATTGTCTTTTTGAAGTGAATGTTTCTATTTAAGAACCTTGTCCGTCTGTGTCAGTTCCCTTTGATTCTTGTTTAAAGTGTCAGAGCGTTCTTCCTTGCTAGTTTCTGCCTGACTTTGCCTTGCCTGTCTTGCCAGTTATGTTACAGGGACCGCCCCAGAGTACGTCACATGCCATTATGGTGGCTTTATTGAAGTTGCAACCTTCTAAGACAGACAAAATCCTCAGTTACAACAAAAAAACCTTGAGAAACTTATTCAGGAAAATAAACACTCACGATGTCAAAAACAGCTCTGTCAAGAACTGAAGAGGTGTAATAATAATTGATAGATTCTAAATTCCCAAATCCTTCTCTAATAGCTAAGTATAAAGAACGGTTTTCAGAGGTTAATTTGTCTCTAGGATGTACCTCTGACTCAAAGGTTGTTTTCTGCTTTGACATGAAGTTAGTTGAGAAGCTAAATACAACAGATGTGTATATCTACATCTTAGGGCCCATTCTTGATCATCATATTGGGATCCTCTCCTTAAACCTATTCCCAGGCAATAGAACAGTGTATGGATTTGAATTGAATTTGGAAAGTAAGTAGATCTCCAATAAATATTCTAGTTGCTACCACTAAAGTATTCCCCCCTGGACTCATAGGCAGTATGAGAACATTTTAAAAATGGAATGTAGAAACAGAGATTGGAGTTTGAATCAAACTGTGTAACTTTCTATCTGACCTTTTGCAGGTTACTTAGTTCCTTTTTTAAAAAAATGGTGTTACTGGAGTTACAATCTCAGAAGTTGCCCAGTTAATTATGCTTTGCTATAGATTGAGGAAGAAGCTTAAAATGAGGCTTTTGCTTTCTCAGGGCAAGACAGGCTAGACCCCTCAATCTGATTGAGTGTGTTTTCCGTTCCTAGCTTCATTTATGGCATATTCCCTTGAACATTGGATTCTTACCCTCAGCTTATCTGTCCCAATTCCACATTGGCCTGTCATTACATTTGCAAGTGAACAGGAAAAAAGTTCTCCAATCAGTTTATAGCATGAAGCCCTTCTGTTAGAACATGGAAATGCCTGAGGGGCTCCATGTTATTAACAATTCCAATAGAAACAGATTTGAATTTGCACAAGGTTTTTTTGCGGGGGAGGGTCGATTTAGGTCTAAGGTATAATAAGAACAATGAGATTAAAAAAGATCCCAATTGATGGTTGGATTTGGACAATTATTGTACATAGTGGCATTCAATGGATAATAGAATTTATGGCTGCTTTGGTAGCTCATCGGTTCTTTGTAGTCACTTTGACTTTGGGGGTATTTTCCATTTCAACCCTACTTCAAAGAGTAAAGCTTTGCTATTTCCCTTCTGACCTTCCCTTATTTTGCTACAGATCTTACTCTAGCACCTCCATAGAAGAGGCCATGAAAAGGGGCGAGGACCCCCCCACCCCGCCACCCCGGCCACAGAAAACCCATTCCAGAGCCTCCTCCTTGGATCTGAATAAAGTCTTCCAGCCCAGTGTGCCAGGTGAAGTGCCCCTTGCCATTGACCCCTTCCATTTCCTGTTGGAGCCAGTGCATGGGTGTCTGCCAGAGAGGCCTCTGTGAGCCTGGAGAAAGGGCTGACCTGGCAGTTTCGCATCCCGTGAAGGTCTTCATGTGGCTATGGTGTTCTTGGGAGGGAAAGCAATTCTAGACACATGTATAGCTCATGTGTCTGGAGCCTTGCCCACACTTGTTATGGATCAAGAATTGGGAAATTCTCTACCAAGAGAATAAAAACGCTTCACCCCCATGCAGTCTGCTGAGTATGTGGCTGGGGTCTTATTCTCTGCATCACTGGTAATTTCTGAACAAGATGGATCACTGTCGTTTCCTCAGACGCTCATTCTTCTATGAAAGATCTTGGAGACTGAGGCCTAGCCAGAGCCTTCTCCTGCACTTTACACTTATGGAGAAGATCTTGTGTCCTGTAAGATTTAATGCTGAGGGGGCTCTGATTCTGACTGATGGTTGGGTAGTTGGTGGAGGGTCCTAGGGCGAGGGACCCTTTAGGTGGGCTGCTCTGGGCTTCTGGGGATGGGATGCTCTTGAGCCAGCAGCTGTGTAGCTGGGCTGGAGGTGGGGGAGGACAGAGGGGCCCTGTCTGCTCCCCTGGTTTCCTGTGAAGTAGGAGATAAACTCCCAGGGAACCTAAGGAATAGAAGATGAGAGACATGCCTTTGCTTTAGTGAAGGTGATAGGATACAGTGCTGTCCCAAGTGTTATTTTGGGAGCAGCAAGGGCCTTTACACTGACTCATGCAGGCAAGCTATAAATACAATGATTTCCTGGAACTTTTTCTCTATCTATGTGCATTTTAAATCAGGCCAGCCTCAGATGCTAGTGATTCGCAAATTATTATCTTTTCTACTAAAGCAAGAAAAGACTTTCTTGGCTCCCACATTAGCGTGACCTGTGTGTCTGGGCAGAGCTCAGCATGTTTTATTTGTTTTAATAAAGTCCTCTCCTCACAGTAAAGTTATAGATTGTTTTTAATATACTAGAATCTGGAACTCTCTATCAAATATAATTCTCTGCCATGAGTTCATCAGACAAAAATTTGCTTTGAATTTCCTCTCATACTTTGATCTGAATTCTGACATAAATTTCATAGTGACTGGTATTTAGGGTGGGAGTAACCACAGGTGATGATGCTATAAAAATTTCACATGGCTGGGGTATTATGAACTGGAAGATTTTCCTATGGATGCAAGAGGATTAAAACAATCTGGGCAGCTATCTCACTACCTTTCCCTTGCAAGGAGGGAGGCTGGAAATGCTCACATGTCTCCTTCAGGTTGTGTGACCCAGTAAGGAGATGCCAGCTGTACTGGAGAATTGACATGCTTTATGACATTACATCACATAGTGGATGAGACAGAACTGGATTTGGAGCTCATTTCAGCTGCTTATTTACTGTTTGATTTTCAGCACGTGGCTTAATGTTTGTGCATCTCAGATTCCTAATCTGTACAGTAGAGCCAATACTCCATGGAGTTTTAAGGTTTTGGTGAGATAATAAATATAATCCAAATACAGGTTGGGCATTCCTTATCCAAAATGCTTGGGATCAGAAGTGTCTCAGGCTTTGGATATTTTTTGGATTTTGGAATATTTGCATTATATGCTTATCAGTTGGGCAGATAATAAAAAAATCTGAAATGCTTCAATGAGCATTTCCTTTGAGTGTCATGTTATCACTAAAAAAGTTTAGTATTTTAGAGCATTTGAGATTTTGGATTTTTGGGATTAGGGATACTCAACCTGTAGTACTGTATTTGGCCCACCGGCCTTAGTAAGCGTCTAAGGCCAAAATTCCCGTGACCTGCAAGTATCAAGAATTTAATGCCTGAAATGGCAAGGCTCCACCAATGAGGATAACACCCCGACTTCCTTGACACCTAGTGGACAATTCTGTGATTCTTCCTACCCAGTTTCTCAGAAGGCCTGTGAAAGGACTGAACCCCAGTTACCTGCTGTATTAACCCCATTCATTAATGTACTTTTTCTTGTCTTGCCTCCTCCTGCCCCATCTCACTTTCCCCTTACTTGAATCATATACCTGTTCCAAAGACCCTATGTCAGGGGCTTCTTTAGGGGAAACCTGAATTGAGACAGCTTTCTTTAATATCTCCGTGTCAATGTGACTTCAAGATGAAAAGTATTTGGTTTGATAATGCCCTGATGAGGTCCCTTGTGGTAGAGCCTGGTAAATCTAAGATTTAGACAAAGAATAGCTAGGCAGGTGATGTCTGTGTTCAATAGCCTAATCCCATTGTCTTTTCAGTACAAAATTATACAAATGAAATTTTAATGAGCAGTTTAAGTTTATCACATGAAGAATAGAACATTTCTGCAGTATGAAAAGCAGGTGGTATAATTACATCCACTTTATTTTCATGTTGGTTAATTCTCACGGGAAACTAAGGGTCTGTCTAAATTATATAGAATTTTAATGTTTTGCATATTGCTAGAAATTAATTATTGAAATGCTGACAAAATAGAAATTCATGAAATAGAGCCTAAACCTACCAGAAAAGTCAACTCACTGAGAATCATGCATACATGTAGCTATCCCTTTGCTGCACTTATCTTTATGTATCACTTTAGATAAATGGGATCATACTAGGCTTGCTGTCCTGTGTGTTGATCTTTCCAATTAACCATCTTCCTATTTCATATAGAGGATTGCACCATTCCCTTTAAGGTCTGCTTGATATGGATATACCATAGTTGACTGTGCTTTGATGGAGAGATCTTTCTCTCCTCCTCTCTGCCTTTTCTCTTCCCCATACTTTCCTCTCAAGCTCACCCACTACCCCATGACCTATTCCTTTCTCACCCTTGCAAAGAAACCTCTCCCTCTCTCCACCCTGCCCCCTGTGTCCTCTTTATGCCCCTCTGTCTATCTCCTCTCCCACCCTCTGTTTCTCTTTTTGTCCTTCTCCCCCCTCACTCCTCCACAGGCATGAGCCTCCCCTCAGCCTCCCCTTGCCAAGCTCCTCCATACCACCACCTTGCTCTTATGATATAAACAAGGGAGAGATTATTAATGATTGCATGTCCATATCTTTGTTTCATCATCTAATTATTTTCTTAGGTTAAATCCTGTTGGTTGGAGTTGCAGGGTCAAAAGTTGTAGATGTTTAAAGCGTAGCTGTATATTGCCAAAGCGTGAGGTGGAAAACCTGTCAACTTACTCCATCATTAACACTGTCGGAAAGTGTTTCCTCACAATCTCACCAACACTGCTTAATGTTTTGTCTTTTTAATCATTACTTATATAATAGGCAAACAGTTTCATGTCCCTGATTCCTAGTGAGGCTGAGCATCTTTTTGTATTGTTATTGGCTGTGAATATTTCTTCTCTTATGATTTGCCTTCTCAGAAGGCTTGGCCAGCTTTTGCTGCTACATCTCTCTTTGCCTAGCCATGGGGACCACTTGTTTCTTCTTCATTTTGCCTAAGAAGTTCTGGACCACCCTTCTGTCAGGCACTTGGGAAAGTGAGGGTGGCCACAGGGAAGCCTACCTCACCTGCTGCTCTGCTGGTCCTTGTCCCTCCAGCCACCTGCCTCCATGTCCCCTCCTTCTGCCAACTTTATCACTAAAGACAGACTGCCAGGGCACCCTGTTTATGACAATAGAAGAATAGGAAAGGTAAAGAAAAGTGGGGAAAATAATGTGAGATGAAGCAAGATATGGACTTGAGTTGAAAGGGAAAGATGAAATGAGGCCCTTGTTTAATAAAATGGGACTCACAGGATTATGAAAAGCAGAGTGATTAAAGCTAAGGTGCTGAGACAGAGTGGTTCAAAGTGGAGTGATGGTGTGGAAAGGAAATAGGATGGAGAGAAGATGGAAAGAAAAATAAAAGAGAAAAATGAAGAGAAAGATGGGATGGTTGTTATATAGGAGTGATGATGTTTATCCAAAGGAAGAAGCAGTAAATAGAATAAAAAATTATAGAACCAAAGGAAGGAAAATCCACAGACTCTTGTTGTATGATTCAAGTAGCATTTAAAGGAATAGCTTAGGAGTAGGTGGCATTAATGCCTTTACATTTATGAAAATAGGTAACATGATATGGGGAAAAAGAACAATGGGCTGATTTAGAATGTAAATCTATAAAAATGAACAAGGCCAACTTTGGAAATATAGAACAGTTGCCTTCAGCTTTAGTATCTGTAAAGAGAGTGTGAATGTGTGATTTATAGTAGCCTAGATGATCCTGGGGCTCTAGGTACTGGCATTAAAACTGAGACATGTGTTTTCATAAGGAGAAGTGGATACACTATGATCACTGTGTGTAACAGGGAGATCACCGTTTGTTATAGCTGACCCAGTTCTTGGAGCCATCCCCTTACAGTCCCACACAGCTACTGTGTTTAACAGATAGTAAAAATGTGCAAGAAAGTCTAAGTCAGTGATAATGCAAGTATGCAAAACCTAGAGGCATTAAGACCCAGAATTTGCTAAGTGATGTTTGGATTTTATAGCTCTGTATTTATAGCTATGAAGCATCTTTTATTACTGAGATTCCTGTAAGAAAAATCACACTAAGCCAGTATCTAACCTCCTTTTCCTCAATGAAACAGTTATTTTCATGAGGTGATTTTTTTTTTCATAAAAAGAGTTTCTTCTGTCCACGGAATCAGTGAGAACTACCCCTCTCATCCACTCTTGATTCAGACCTGCCTCCTCCAAAGCCATGCCTGAGGTTTCCATGGTGACAGTAAAAAGCCTTAGCTCTGCCTTGTTCCAGTCATTGAGCATCCGCCTGGTAGAAGTGGGGGCAGAGATGGTGTGGAGGAGACATGGCCATTCTTTTCAAGTTTCAGACCAGGTACTTTCATGATTTCCTCTCAAATCTAGCTGGGGAGGCCTAGGCCCATGGATAGACCTAGTTGCCAGGTAGCTGGGAAATGTAGTTCTTGGTAAGGCAGCCACTTCCCAGTAATACCCTTCCTACTGTTAAAAAAAAAAA